GTTTCCTTAATTTTAGTTATCCTAGACCCATTGTTTGGAATTTTATAAATGTCAACACTCTAGTTTCTCCATCAATTTCCACAGAGAACACTTCTGGATTAGTGGCTTTAAGAGAGCCATAGAATTCTTTCACCACACTCTCATAGCAAGGCTTATTTATAGATAAGAACTCATCCTCACCACACTCTCATAGCAAGGCTTATTTATAGATAAGAACTCATCCACCCTTAAACTTCAAACAACTCTCTAAAATTGAACTCTATTTCCCAAAGAACTTCCAATCAATCACGTAAGAATGCATAAGAGAATTTGGGGATAGGACAGATTTACCTTTGCCACAAGAAGCCAAAATTTTTCCTTTTGCTTTTTCTTTCCCTTTCGATTTCTCTGGTTTGCTTTTTTATTTCTCCTTTCCTGAACTCGATTCAATTACCGATTTCTTCAGTCTTGACTCTTGCTTTTCGTACTTCTTAGTTAACTTCTTAAGAAGTTGTAATTCTTTTTCAGTAAAAAAATCAGAGGAGAAAGAGGTGGAACTGGATTTGGTCATGTTTAGGGTTTTGGAACAGATAGGAGTTAGGGTTTCATTGTGAGAAAGAGATAGAGAAGAGAAAAAAGTGTTTTGGTGGAGGAAAGAGAAATCAATTTAGAAAAGTTATGATTTTAGGAAAGAGAGAAATGACTTAAAAAGAGAAGCTATGACAAATGCGTGCGAGAGAGAAGAAAACAAAAAGAATATACTGGTTTGAAAGAAAACTGAACCGACTTAAAAAAAAAAGCAAAATTTTCAAAAAAAATAACACACAATAAAAGAAAATGCAGCCAAAAAAATAAAATAAAACAAAATAAAATAAAGAAAAAAAATAAGATAAAATAAAATAAAAATCAAATAAATAAACAAAAAAATTGATTGTTTCAATTTGTCTAAAAATAGAATCTGATGTAGATGGTCACATTAGAAATTCACATCAGAACCTTATTTTTAGATACAAAAATATTTTTCAAAGACATACAGAATTTTAAAACATAATATAGAACAGGTCTTTCAATCTCAAATATAGAAAGCATTTAGAACATATACAAAGAGTTCTAAAGTTAAGAGTTTAGAACTAACATATCTAGTTCTCTTCTAATTAAGCAGAATTGGCTTCTATTTTAGTAAAAATATCTGCCAATTATTTTTCTGTAGGAATGAACTCAATCACTATATAACCTTTTTGAACATGCTCACGTATGAAGTGATTCTGAGTTTTATATGAATCAACAAATTAAAAATGTTTTAATTTAGTTGTACAATCAAGTTCAAATTCTCCTTATCCGGTATTCTTAAAGAAAGAATACTGGATTTTTTTTTTTATTGGGGTACCCTGCAAAACAAAGCATAGTAAATAATACCCTAAAGAAGGGCGGGTTAATTTACACAACAATTGTAGTCTTCTTCATGCAAAATGATTACACGTTATCCCCAGCAGAGTCGCCAAACTGTGAACCCGTCCCCAAAATATCAAAATGCATATGAATGCATGTTATGCATATGACTAAAGGCAGAAATGCACGTAAGTGTGTGAGTCGCCACCTTGTTTAATAATCAGGGTAAAACTAGGAAAAACCCTAAGTGACTATCCAATCTGTAATTAACCTAATTACTAGATTAAATTAACACCAATGTTTAAGGCATGAATCTTACGCACCGAGGTGGGTCCCGAGACCTAATGTCATTTCGCTGATAAACTAACCAATGAAATAAATGCTTTGCAGGGTGAACTAAATGTAACTGGACCAATGAAAATGTTTTAAGTGATTTTGACTTGCCGCTCGGGGTTAAATCCCAAACGTCGCCTACCGTACTTCCGTTTGAAATGGAAGATCAAAGTCCACGTAGTTTTCGATAGGCCTCTTTTAGAGGGGCTTTGGAATGGGTATGCTTTATGGCATGAGTGTGTGTAGTGCTTCGTCGCATTTTTTAGGCATTTTGCCAAAGAATTGATTGGATTTTTAGGATTTGATGCCCAAAAATGTTGAATTTTATGGCTTTAGCCAAAAAAGATTAATTTATGCAATTGTTGCTAAAATTGATGTGATTTAGCGATTTCGCCTTGTCGCCAAAATGCTTGATTTTAAGGATTTTAGCCAAAAGATTGATTTAGGCAATTTATTGCCAAAAGTTGGTGATTGGGCGATTGTCGCCAAAATTGATTGACCTAAGGCAATTTATTTGCCAAAAGCAATTGTTTGAAGGCTTTTAGCCAAAAATTGTGATTTAAGCGATTTGTCGCTTAAGAAAATGATTAATCTCACTTACAGGCAATTTGTTTGCCAAAAGTGATTCTTTGAATTGCAATGTAGGCAATGTATTGCCAAGACAAAAACGTGTTTAATTAAAGCTTTTTAGTCTCAATTATTGATTAATTGGACTTAAGATGGACTGTTCGAAATAAAGGCAATTATACCATAGCCATTTAATTAACTAGGTATTTTGAGCCAATATTGTCGGATTTAGGCTTTAATACCACGATTATAGGCTTTAAATACCCATCGATTATTATTAACCGGGCATTTACCTTAAATTATTTACTTGAGGCAATTCGTTTGCCTTTATGATGACATTTGATGCATTTATTGCAGTTGTAGAGTTATTAGGAGTAGAAGAGAAGCATGCATGAAGTGCTAAAATAAATAGCAAGTTTAGTTCAGAAGTACCTGATTTAATCGGATGGCCACTTCTTAAACTCTAGGTTAAGCTCCTCGTGTAAGGGAGATATTAAATTAATTTTGATTTTAATGAACTCTTACTTAACAAAGAAAGAAAGCAATTAAGCTTAAAACTAAAAATGCAGAAAAAGCAGTAAAAGAATCGCAAGGCAGCGTAGGGGAGAAGGAGCGTCCTTCAACACAGACTGAGTGAGTTGAAAGGTCAACACCGGGGCTGTATTTATAGGTGAAAACGGAGCTGTTTACGGCGGCCTGGGCCCGCCGGGTTCCGCGGCCTGGCCGCCGGAGCTCCGCGGCTTGGGCCGCCGGAAACCGAGCCCACCGAGCCGGTGGTTCTGTTATTCTCGTTCTGGAGGTTTTTCCGGGAGTTCCGGACCTCCAAAAAAAATATTTTGGGACCACTCTGTTGATCCTCGTGAATTTTTCGGAAATTCCAAGTAACCATATTGGATAACTTTTTCGGTGAACCTCCAAAATGGCCTTTGGTCAGGCCGGACTGTTTGCAGTGCGGGAGAACTGGCTCTTTGAGCCTCAAAATTTGGGTATTCACAGTTGCCCTCCACCCGGCAACCATAAAAAAATGATTTATGGGAGTTCAGTGGTTGTCTTTAACGCATTTTTGGGGAGGCGAAAATACTACCGGCGTCCAGCAAGACCCGCCTTTTGGCTATTTGCTTATAAAATAGCTTGAAATTTTCCCATTTCATTCATTCTAAACTCCTCCAAAAAACCAAAGTCCTCTCAAAATTCTCTCAACTTCCTCATCATGACCTTCCCCAAGCTACAGCAGCGGTGAGGAATTTTCTCGGTCTCTGGGGATTTCTCTCAACAGAGGTCGATCTTAAGGTAGACGCTGATACTCAGCCTCATGACCGGCATCTTCGCCCAGGTAGGCTCCCTTTCACTTTTGTTTGCATATTATTTATTATTTTTGGGCCTTAAGCATGGTGAATTTTGGGCCTTAGGCCAAATTGTGAATTCTAGGCCTTAAGCCGAATTGTGAATTTTGCCTTAGGCCAATTGTTGAAATTTTGGCCTTAAAGGCCGAATTGTGATTTTTTGGGCCTTAGGCCAAATCGTGAAAATTTTTGGGCCTTTGGCCAAATTTGTGAAATTTTGGGGCCTTAGGCCAATTGTTGTGAATTTTAAAAAAATTTTCCTGTGCTTATTGTTTTTATTAGTATGCAATGGGCTAGGGTAGAACTAAGTATTACCCTTAGTTAAGGGAAACCGAAGGAGTAACTCCTTTTTAGGTTGATTTTAAATTACTTCAGGACCTCCCGTATTAAAATTTGGAATGTGGGTGAAGAGTTCTGTGGGCTGAATGTTTCAATTCCGATCGAGATATTCGATCAGCATAATCCAGTTGGAGCGATTATCGGTCCGTCTTATCTGGGCTACCTGAGACATCTTGACATGGGTCAGAGCAGCCACAAGGAGCTACTATGCGCCTTGGCTGAGAGGTGGTGGGACACCACCAATACTTTTCACTTTACTTGGGGCGAGTTGACAATGACCCCTGCGGACTTTTCTGTGATCTCTGGGATCCCTTTCGGCAGTCGACCGATCGAGCTATATGACGACTGGAGGACAGAGATTTCCCCTGACCGGATAGTGGAGCTGATCGGGATAGACCTGCCTCGAGTTGTCGAGCCAGGCTCTGTTACTCCTGCTTTGAGCGTTTCCCGACGCTAGACGCTGGTTATCCCTCCAGGCCCCTGGCATCTATGCTAGATACGGGCAGGGAGAGCTGACGGCTACTCAGGTGGCCAGATTCACCTTGTTGCTACTATTTGCTTCAACCTTCTGGTCCAATAGGAAAGAAAAGTTTAACCCCTCTATCTTGAAGAGTTTGGAAAATTTGGCCCATTTAGAGGAGTATGACTGGGCTGGTGCTAATCTGAGCCGCATGTATGACGATACGTGCGATCTGAGCCGAGGTCACTGCAAGCTCAGCGGGACCTACTATTTTTGGGAGGTAATGTAAAGATCATTCTTCCTCTCTGTTTTTTTTTTTTGTTCTTCTCGATTTTCTTTTCACTGATTCTCTTTTTGTTTCGCAGACTTGGGCATTTGAGTTTGTTTCCAGACTTGGGCATTTGAGTACTTTCCTTACATCTCGCCCAGAGCTGCTTCAAGACTGATCTCGATCAAATGGGCCTAGTGCCTTTGGCCTTGTCATCGACTAGATTCATGACATATGCTGGACTGTTTCTGTAAGGCCGAACTGTCAGGAGGTCGAATGACTTGGTCCTCCCCCTACATTAAAACCATGGAGGCCAAAGTAGCTAGAGCATCAGCAAACTGATTTTTGGCTCGCGGCAAGTAGTGAAGGATAAAATCCCAAAATTGCTGAGCCAATTTCGTTCGTCCAAGCGTTGCAGGTAAGGAACCAAACGCTCTTCCTTAATTTTCCATTTCCTAAGAGCTTGAGAGACTATCAGATTGGAATAAACCCTAAGGACTTTTATCTCTTTTTCCAGGGCTGCTTCTAACCCCTTTATGCAAGCTTCATACTCGGCTTCATTGTTGGTGCAGTCGAAATCCAGTTTAACTGCAATTGGGATGTATTCTCCACAAGGAGTTTTGAATACGACTCCAACCCCATTTCCATGGTAATTTGAAGCTCCATTGAAGTACATTTCCCAGACTTCACTTTCCAAGCTCAACAAGTCTTCATCAGGAAATTCCACCTCCTGCATTTGGTCTTCGACCGGTAATTCTGCTAATTGATCAGCTACTAACTGATCAGCCAAGGCTCCGCCTTTCACTACCTTCCGTTGTACAAATTTTAAGTCATAAGCTGCGAGCACTGACACCCACTTTGCCATCTTACAGTTAAGAACCGGCCTCTCCATAAGGAATTTCAAGGGGTTCGATTCAGAAATAACATATGTAGTGTAAGACGAGAAGTAGTGCTGCAGCTTTGTACAAGCCCAGACTAGAGCCAAACACAACTTCTCGATCTTATTGTATTTTAGCCGTATTCCAGCATCCTCTTGCTAAGGTAACACACGACATTTTCTATCCTTGTATCTTCTGCTTGTTGAGCTAGCATTGCACCCATCGCTTCTTTCGTCACTGATAGGTACAATAGCAAAGGCTTTCCTCCTTTTCCTAGCCTTGGTGGCTGTAAAAACTGGCGGGGATAACCCAGATAGTTGCTTGCACTTGGTCCGAAAGCTTTCTGAGCAATCCTCTTCCATTTGACGCTACTTCCTTTCCTGAGTAATTTGAAAATCGGACACACAAGTTCGGCCAACTGATTGATGAACCGGCTGATGTACTGTAGCCTTGCCTAGGAAACCCGAACTCCTTTTTCTGTCCGGGTGCTGGCATTTCCAGAATAGCCTTTGGCTTTCGAAGGGTTCAATCTCTTGCCCTTTTCCGACCCGACCCATATGCCCCAGAAATACTCCGGATGTAGCCTCCAAAACAGACAATTT